GGGTTTGGAAGGGACCTCTGTGGGTCATCCAGTCCAACCCCCCTGCCGAAACAGGGTCACCTACAGCAGGCTGCACAGGACCTTGTCCAGGTGGGTCTTGAATATCTCCAGAGAAGGAGACTCCACAAACCTCCCTGGGCAGCCTGTTCCAGTGCTCTGTCACCCTCAGAGTGAAGAAGTTTATTTTATCAAGGAGTCTATTTTTGTGCTATACTCCTGTGGAGGGAGGATGGTTGTCACATCCATCACCTTAGCTCAGCTTTCACCCTACTGCCTAGAATCTGCTCTTCCTCATCCCTTCCTCACCATCTTCAGCTATGCCTTTTTGTAGTATCTTCTTCAACTTCACCCCACAAAAGAGCTGATGAGGAAGCTGTTTTCTCCTCACTGTGCAGGAGATATTTCACAGCAGACCCTGCTGCAGCCAGCAAAAGCTCTTGGTCAAGATGCAAGTCTGCAGCTTTCTCCGCAAGACCCATCTCGCTTTGAGAAAGGAAGCTTTGGCAGCCAGGCAGGACCGTGCTTGTCTTCCTGCAGCTGGCATAAACTGGAGACATTTACTGCTGGTTTTTGTGTCCTGGCTAATTCAGAAGAAATGTGATCACATAAAAACACCTGAATGACATCCTTATCCCTGAGTGGTGTAGAACTGAAGGTTGTGAAAATCGGACATTCTTGTTAAAACTTGCACTTGTGTCTGTATGTCAGGAGCAGTTTCCCATGGAGACCTAGGGTTGGGGAGCATTTTGCAGGAGTAGAATGTGGCTGAGGTCTCTCTCTGCAGAGTTTTGGAAGCAGAATTAATTTGCTGGGAACTAACCCGGCATTTCTGCCACGAGCAGGATTTTCCATACATTTTTGTTACGGTGGGAGACAGGAATAGGAAGAGTCGCAAGCACCTTAAGATGTGTGAGGCGAAGCTTAACACTGCCTGCAGTGTTCTGGGGGGAATGTCACTGCTGGCGAAGGGAGAGCTGCTGCTAGCAGACTAAACAGGAGATCACAGTCCCTTCCCAGCCTCCTTACCTGAGTATCTGTTCACTATTAAAGCTCTTATGGTTGCAGACTCTGACTTGGGTTTCTCATGAATAAATACCAACAAGAGTAAAAAGAGCTTTCTAGCTTAGAGCTAAAAGTGTGGGAACAGCTGAGTCTGTGAAGCCCTGACCTGGCCGTGATGTGGATCCCTCCTGGCAGAAGTCATGGTGTACATTTAAGGGCACCAACCGTTTGCTGCAGTCTGAGCTACTCTCACACTGGGAAAAGTCTCCGGAGAGAACCAGATTCTGAAAAAATCCCCCAAGTTTTCCACAAATTCTCTCTGTGATCAGTGGATCCCAATACATGCACGGGCTGCGTTTATTACAGTTCAGGAACAAGGAAAAGGAGACAAAAGCACGTGACCATGACAGTTGTAGGTTTTGTAGTCTGGAACTGTTGTCTGATTTATACCAGCTGCTTATATATAACATAATATTATATTTATTATCTGTGATATGCATTACAGGTTGTATTAATGGCTGATTATGTATTATATTATTAAAATAACAGCGACTCCTTAGAGCCATTTCCATAAGCTGGAGATTCTTATGTTGTTGGGAGATCATTCGGCAGCCAGAAATAGCTGAAGTACAAAATAGGTCTCGGTATCCCCAAACTTTGATGAGCTGTGTTTCCCGTGCATTCCCTTGACAAATTTCATTGCTTCCCCCAGAACAGGGCTCTGTGAGTTACACTGGCTATCCAGCTGTTCCTTCTCTTTTCTTTTTTTTTTTACCACCACAGGTTTGGAAAAGAAAAACCCAGTGTATGCTGTCCTGAATATGGCCCACCAAAAACAACTGCAAATATTATCTCCTTCTGAGATGACAGAGAAATTTCAGGATGAATTCTTCCATGCTATTTTGAACACACTTCAGTTTATGGTTATATTCATTAACTACTATTGAAAATTTTATGTGTAGAACACTGAGTTACAAATACTAAATCGGAAAAGAACAGTCATCAGGTGCATAAGCAATGTTTTAATTGTAAAATGTTTTTTTACATTAAAATCAAAGTAAGATCCATATTTGAGGGCCAAGGATGCTAAATTATGTAGGTGTTTTCTGACCGTTCTAGTAAATCATAATGTTGAGTTCCTGAGTAAGTGGGGCAGAAATATGTAATATGAGTTTCTGTGGAAAAAAGAGAGACACAAAAATAATTAATAACTTTGTCTTAACTTAAAAAAGACCAGCTCAAAACAGAGAATGAGAAGTAAAACTTGAGCTTAGACCTTCATGATTCCCTTAACCTCATCTGGTAGGCAAGGCTGACTTGGTGGCAGTATGCATCTTTCTGCTGCTGTATCCAAGTCAACATCCCATTTAGAAATTCAGGAACAGTTTAAAATTAATTACTAAGATGAATTAAATATGCAGTTATAAATACAATACCTGTCCTGCTCTCTCTCTGTTAAATGTTCAGTTTGATGTATTTTTTGCTACTCACAGAATTTCCATTTTCAGTACTTCACTAGTTTTATCTTCAGGTTTCAGAATGAATAATAGCCTAAAATGCATAATATCCATTCACACCTCTTAGCTATTTCTTTGCCCACACACAAATCCATGTTAACATCGCTCTAACAGTCTATGCTTAGCTCACTTCTTCAAAGTATGTAGTGTTTTCATCTTTCATCAGAAACAGTTCTCTACCACCACTGGGTAAGAAGGAAGCCCACTTCTTGAATGATTTGCCTTTTACTCAAATACAGACAAAAATAGTGCGACCTCACCCAAACGCTAACCGGAAAGCTCCAGGCAGCCAGAAAGGCTGCTCCAGACTCCGCTACTGCGCGGACCTGGGGAACTGCGGACATGGGGAACCTCCCCGCACTTTCCAGCACAGGATACAAGTGGGAGAAAAAGGAGAATCTCCCTATGGCCAGGTCATTTGGTTGCCAGCACAAGCCTGGTTGGCAGAAGTGCTCCTCCAGCATCCCTGCTGCGGTTGCAATACAGTGCCTGTGGCTCTCAGGGTACGATACTCCAGGGGAGGAGATAAAGGGTGCTAATTATAGGAAGAGTCTGTGGTATTACAGATGTTGGATCGGGGTAGCACTGCATGAATCAGAGAGAAAGAGGCAGCCTATTACTCAGCAAACTCCTTCTATTTATATACAAATAACTATGGCTCAGTTAGGCACTTAAGCATTGCTTTTAGGCAAATTTGCTTTCTGTAAAGCAATAGCAATATGGTAGAAGTTATTTTCTACTACATCCCTTCAAACAGTACAGTCTTTGTACTTGAACTATTATACAGTGTGTAATCTCATTAAGCCTGTAAGAAAGTGGCAAATTTGCCCTTTAGATTTCATTATTTTTTTAATTACATGGATTGTAAGTTTTGAACTTCTAAGCCCAAACTGCTAGTTGGGGTTTTTTTTTAATAAAGTCAAACATGAGAGGATTATAGGTAATGGCATTACACCATGCATACAGGGTTGGTGGGAGAGGTTTGACTGAATCTCTTAGAATTGCAAAAGGAATTTATTTAGCTGGTTTAGGTTACTGTCTGATTTAAATAACGTGATTTTTGTGTAGTTTTGGACCTTTCCTACTAGAGCAGCTTGATGGTTTTTTTTCTCTATTGTTTGAAGTAGTTCTGAAGTCACTGAGATCATCTTTTGTGCTTAAATCAAATTTGAAATGATACTTTTGTGACAAGATTTTTAGTCTTTTTAATCATCTTTTTATGTGATGCTGTTAGTATGCAGTTATCTTCTGGATTTCTGTGATTGGTGCCTTCAAGCACATCTCAATGGAGTGTTTTCTTTACCCTGCCACATTTATGTTGCTTTCAGCTTGCTTAGAGGCAGTTTGGCTGTTAAACTGTTTCTTCCCTTGAGGCAATACTGATTATGCTTATTTACGACGTCGTCTCTGAAAGAGAGCTTTTTACGATTCTCCAAGGCAGAAATCTATTCTCTGCAATTTTCTTCTTTTACAGATTCTTTCAGTAAAACAAATGTTAGAACCAGGTGCATGTAATGGGGATCACACTTTGGTTACAATTAAAAGGTAAATCATTAAGCCAAGTGGGTAGAGTGACATATGATGTGACATCCGTTGCTTGCTGCCTGAGCTATCTTTGATTGAATGATGAGTTAGTGGCATTTTATAGTGTTAGTCCTGGGAGTTCCCTAGAGGCAGACCAGTGCTGAGATGTGAGTACCACATCTCATACAAAGTGTGCATGACCCACTACAGCTTGGTGGCTGGTGACAGATTAGGGACAAGTGACCAGAGCAAGGGACATTTACTCAGTGTTGTTCCCTTTGTCTACTCTCCTGTGGAAAAGGAAATTGGGACCACAGAGGCTGTCACAGCTGTTTGTTAGTGGTGTTCAGTCTGTCCCCTCCAGGGTGTCTCCGAGTTGGTGCTGGAGGAGGAGCGCTGCGCAAGCAGGTCACACATTTCAATCTGGGACACTGAGGTTGGGACACCTTAAGATGTTGAAACTGTACCTGTTGTCTCACTGTAGTGGTAGTTTCTTAGGAACAAACATACTGCACGGATTGACCTGTCCCTCCTCTGAAGATAGGGGACACTCATTAGAGGCTGTAATCATTTTGGGACACTAAGTAGTTTTAAGAAAATATCTCCACTCCTTTTCAGCAGCTGACATACAGATTTAAGAGGTTTTCTCATTTTATCAGGATGATAATAATGCCCATAAAACTGCTAACATTTCTCCCAGTTTGCAGAGCTATATCTTCTTTTCATTATTTCATTAGTTTAAAAACTTGTATAAATGGCAGACACTAAATGAGAGAGAGAATGAGTGTACATGTAATAGCAAAGATTAAAGTTTGCTAAAACAGCTCTTGCTGCCTCTTCTCCGCCCCCTCCCCAAAAACTCAGACTGTTCTATCAAGAATTGGTGTCTGCTTATAATTAGAATTGTAAAGGGGTGTGGATGAGAAATTGCTTCTGTTAGTGACTATCTTCCCTTCCCTAAGGTTTTTCATAATTGCTCAGCGCAGCTCTTACCCCACTCAGCTCATAAGAGAAAGCATCTCCACGGATGGCTCTTCCATTCAGAGCAACAGCATGAGGTCTCTGCTTCAGGCCAAGAATCGTAATTTTGTTGTACTTCAGAGTGTCAGCCCCTCGGTAGCCATTTTTAAGTATTTCCGTCTTCAGATTTCCCTGGAAAAAGCCACAGAGAAAATTTCAGGACCACAGCAACTCTTTGGAAGCGACTTACTGCGTACTGTTACTGCTGTGGTCTCATCTTTGTCAATGAACCTACAGAATGTCTTCCAATGTAGACATTAAAGTCTGAGATGGTAAAGGAAAAGCAACAAGACACGTTAATTTTCACATAAGAATGGTTTTGTGTATCATTATAAACTAAGAAAATAAGAAACAAAATAGCATTTACAACATTCATTTGGGATTATTGGACATGTTTTTTCTACTTTTAATCAATCCAAATTTGGTTCTTGTAGCAATTTACAGGGTACAGTGGCATATGCAAAGCCAAAATCCAGATACGGAGATTCAATTAGCGACCTTAAGGCAGATTTAATTAACATCCATGGCTAACTGCTTTAAACTGTTAGCGTCTTCCACAAACATCAGCTGCTAGATACTTTGCCCCTATTTTATGTCCCACTTCTCCACAACTCCTGCTAGAAATCTCTGCTGTCTACGTCCCAGCTTTAAGGACACTGAACGAACATCGTATGCCCGCAGAGCCTTGTTTGTTGTACTTCTTATTTACTACATAGCCCACATTTAGGGATGTACCGAGAGGACATACAAAGTCATTAAACAAATTCACTTGTATCACCAGCAACAGTAATTTCCCATACAAGCGATGAAGAGGAATCATTGCATTTGTTATGTGATCAAAGTTGTAAAGGAAATAAAGATGAATTACTCCACTCAGGAAATTATGAATTGCTATGCAATCATGACTTTTTAAAAATATGCCAAGGAGAAACCCATGATGGAACCTTTTGCATAAATTAGCTTATGTTATTTCAGTGGTGCATGGTAGGAGGGGAGCAGAAGTTAGATCACGGTGTTGTAACTTCGGGCTGTGCTCAGACTGCTTATTTCACTAAAAGTAAGTGCTAATCCCCAGGGCACAGATTTAAACTGCATAAATAAGGAAAGTTGGCTATTATTGAGCAAATGGGGAAAGGCCTCTAAAAGCCTCTGGAGAATGTGTTAGGGTACTGATATATGGTGTCTACTCCCCTTTGGCAGAGCTCCAGAATAGAGGGAGGTTCAGCATAGAGAGATCATCTCCATGCAGTGATTTATTTCTGTCTCAGGGGTGGCTAAGCAGGAGAGCTAGCTCAAGGTGGCCACATAGACCCAGTAAGCTCAGTGTGATGCTGAACTCGGTGATTATAACTGTATTAACAAATAAGGTTGCACTCAAGCTCTGAGGCCCTCAGCCAGGACTCTGCAGTAGACACCATTGTCCCTCTGACCACGGTCTAGAAGAAAGTCTTGGGGAGACAGGGAGGTGATGGTCCAGGGGAATGAGTGACCCTCTCCTCCTCTCCTCCCCAGGCATCTAGTGGTTAAACCAATTGCCCAAGAAGGTCCTGAGTTCTTGTCAGAGGGAGGGAAGTTAAGGATATCACTCAAAGCCCCACAAATGCAAAGCAAAAAGAAGTCCTGGATCCAAGGCCAGAAACCAGGACTTCCTCCCGCACTTCTGAGCAGCAGAGTCGTGATTTTTCTTTCTTGCTGTCTTGCACTGGTCCTATGAACTTCACCTGTTTTTCCCACCTCATTTTCTCCCTGAGAATTGGACCAGTTTTAGAAGGAGCTTGCTTTCAGGTTATTCAGTTAGTGGCTAGCACATTCTTTCAGAAGCTCCGCTTTCCTTGGGCAAGCTTTCCGGTTACCAGCCCTTTAGTGTGGTCTGGACTCGCTCAGCAAAGTCTGAGCACATCTTGCCTTGTCTGCCGCCTCTGGGGATGGAGGCAGAGTTTATGGCTCTCCGTGCTCATCCCTGAAGTACAGCAGATCTTCTACACCTGGCTGATGTATTTTTCTGGACTGGTAGGCTTAATTTATGGGGCACATTGACTTGGGGCACTTAGCCATTACGCGTGTCGAAATGGAGGTGTCAAGTGAATTAAAATACTGACCCCGGTGAGAGAGCACCCGAGAGCAGGCAGCCTGAATTGTTCACAGAGACTTAAGTGCCTGCACTAGTCTTGAGTTCTTCTTTGTATTCTGGGTTGTTTAAATGAAAATGTGAGAGAGTCTAATCCTGTAGCTGTTACCTGTGCAGCGCTCTGTGCTGGGTTCAGAGTAAGTGCTATGATATCAGACCTTATCGGTAAATCTCTTAGGGACTGAAACTTGTGTGTTCTTCTAAAACTAGCTGTGATTAAATTATTCATCCACAGTTTTTTAAGAATATAGAAATGTGCAACAAATACCAAGACTTATATACATTTCTCATACCTCTACAATTTGCTATTTGAGATGAATTTTTTTCTTTATAAACACATAATAAAAAATCAACATTAGAGATTATTGGAATGCAGATAGGGACTTCAGTCATGGATTTACGGGCAGAAGTCAAATGTGAGCAATGAGAAATGGAAGTGCCAGTGAATCAACAGTCTAATTTGCACAGATCAGAGTTTAATACAAAACTGGATATTGTTTTTCGGTAGCTTTCCTGCAATAAATTACTATACACAGACTACAGAAAGCCAAAGTGATTTTTCTTCCTTTTTGCCATTGAAATATCCTTTTTTTGAAGAAAAAGAAAATTTTTTCTTGGTAAATCAAGAAGAAAATAAATTCAAAATTAAAGTCTAGACACATGGTATTAGTTGCAGAAAAAATATCTCACAAATATACAATATTACATAATAAAACCCATCGGCTTACCCTGGCTTGCTCTCACTCCTGGAAGACATACATTCTAAGAGCAATATCACAATCAGAGCTAACACAATTTTATTCTTTTGAATATTTTCTGTAAACTACTCTGGGCCTTTTAGGAATACACAGTGTGAAAACCATGCCATAGTCTACATACAGTATTCTATTTCTTACCAGACATGGAAATTGTAGATAAAATATGATCTGTATAGATTGCTGAAGTAGGTTAAGTTTTTTTACAGTAACTCCCACAACTTAACCATCATGTAATTAATGAGCTTTTCGTAGATTTATTTTATTGTATTTTTCTCAGTTGAAGCCTAGACTGTAGGGTTCCTCTGTTGAGCTTTCTCAGGACATGTCTGCGCAGAAGTGAGTGCTGTGTGAAAGGCATTAGCTCACTGACCCTGGGCTGATCTCTTTCTGTGCTGCGTGGAGCGTCTGATCAGCACAGTGAGTTGCCTGTAGTGTGCAGAATCGCTCTGTGGGAGACTGACGATGGAAGCAATCTCCACACTGTCAGGCAAGGGAATGCAAACTAAAGAAGTGAGACTACGTGATTCTGTGGGCCACAAAATGCAGGCTTCAAGTGATCAAAGTTCAAAAGTTGCTGGGATATACTGAAGAGAGGAATGTAGCCTTCTCCCACCCATCAGACAAGTGTTTACAGGTGCAAGACAAGCAAAAGGTCCCTCGTCACATATTTGTAGGTACCTTGGATGTTGCTACTTACTTTGCTGTATGTATATTTAGCCAAGAAGTAGTTCTCATTTTCAATAGTGTCTGTCAAAACACAGAACAAGGATTGGTATCAAAACAGGGAGCAAAATCTATAATCAGTTCCCATTAATTGCAGCAAATGGCTAACATCAGACTAAGACAATTAGTGGTTTGTTTAATCTCTTCCTCTGGTCTCCTTAGGATGATCTCAGGGGAACACGACATGAGTGATTGCCCTCTCTAGCAGACCAGCTCTTCCCAGTGTCACACCTTTCTTGCTGACTTCAAGAGCAACCTGCTCCTCACCTCTGTAATGCTCAACTTCGGGTCAGTTCTCCAGCTATTTCTAGCAGAAGTTAGTGCCATTGTACTGCCAAAAAGATGGCCTAAGGAGAGGCCTGTACACAGACACTGCTTCACAGCAGGGAACCAGGCTTACCGATCGAATCACCGTCATCCCAGAAGAGAGACCCAGAAGCTTCTCCTTGTTCATCCAAGGCGATAATGAGCCCAAATGGATTCAGACGGCTGTTGACAAATGTGTTGAGAAGTGTCAGTACAAACTGGCAGGCACTGTCCCAAGTTATTTAACAAAAACTTCTGAACACCATTAACTCCAATTTGAAGGTTACAAAAAAGGCCACAACAGAAGAATGACAACCGTGCTCACCAAAATGGCTCCTGAAATGCTGACGAGAAGTTTATCTTGCCTTGTCCCACTGAAGTGTTAAATTCCCACCTTTCGAGTACTCATGTGGACAAGTTTCCCCTTCTTCAGTGGCCTTAATGTATGATAATTGGGCAGTCTGGGAGGCGACTGGTCACCAGTGCTACCTTACTATGGTTTGGTTTGGTTGCTGCACAGTGCTGTTCCCTTCCTTCACTACCCACCTTAGCTTCTGAGCATGGTTCAGATGTGAGGCCAGTGTATTGCTTATTGGTGGGGAGAAATCATCTTCCTCAAAAGAGATTTGAGCTTTTCCACCTTGCTCATGGCATTGGATAAATACATCCAAGGAGAAGAGTTTTGCATCTTCCCCTCGCAGGTGTTTGCTTTAAATGACCAGCAGCAGGTCAGTGTGGCAGCAAGAGGTGCAAAAGCTTTTCCGAGCATAACCACAGAGCCAGCAGTAAGTTTCAGCTGTGCCAACGATGACGTGGGTCATCTCTGGGGTGACTTCTCCTAATGCAATGGAGTGGATAGTGGGATAAAAATACCGTTCTTATCGTCTGGGATGGCAGCTGGGAGCTGCAGATAGCCTCTCTTCTGCACTTTCATTTGATTGCTTTCTTGGCTGTCTGTGGGTCTGACTCGCACCGTGGTTGGTTGGTGGCGGACACAGATGATGTTACCTCTTAGTGGTGGTCGTGGCTGGTTCCTGTTCTGGCAGGGCGTAGCCTCCACGGATGAACAGAGGGATCTTGCTCAGTGGGGCATCCACACTAACATATTGCTTGTTCCAGACACTTGGCACTTTAACACCCTACCACAAAAATTAATGCAGTTAAAAAAACCCGCAAATCAGGGCATTATACATAGTGACCGTATCCCACTGAAAAAGAGACCAAAGGGTACATTTTCGTCTCAATTACATCAATGAAAATCCAAAAAAAAAGTGGATTTCAGGAGTATTATTCCAGTTCCTTTTTTAACATGAAAGAGGATCTAGCCCCTGCAGTTATGCATATGCATGAGACAGAAGCATCATGAATGAAAGACAGCAAATCGTCTTTTAAAATGGCATCATTATTCCATATGCTGTGAAAAAAAAAGTCTCATCAAGACACTGAGCAAAAAGCAAAAGAAACTTTTGCTTCCTCTTTTTATGCATATGGAGCCTGTCAGATTTCAGTTTAAGGTAAGTGATTCATAATCATTTGGGAATGTAAACTGTAGATTTTCTTCTCTTTTAAGAACAAGTCTTCCCCTTTCAAAAAGTAATTACAGCATTCAATGAGTGAAACTCGTAGATGTGTAGACAACTAGCATAAGTTCTCTGCATCACGCCTTTCTGGTTTAATGCCTCAAAGCCAGGTGTAGGCAAGGCTTACGTAGATAAGGAGTAGATAACGGGCAGGCTGTGCTCTTGCCCTCTGTCAGTGGACTTCTAACTTAAGGGAAGTACCCAGCCTTGCTTTTAGATAAGCACTATGTGTATGGCAAGTAAGGGCCAAATGCTGGGAGCTGAGCTTTGCTAATGCCAGGGGCATTCCCCGTAGGCAGGGCAAGGGACACCGGGGCTGCCATCCCCATGCCCAGCCCAGCGAGGGGGGCTCAGAGGGAACCACAACAAGAAGATCTGGACAAAGTGCTCAACACTGCAGTGCCATGGCCTGCATGTCATGAAAAGAGAAGAGGGAAAGGATGGGATGAACATTCATCTGAGGACACCAGCCAAATGCTGAAAATGACCAAGTTTCTTTAAAAATAAGTCTGAATTTCCTCTGAGAGCGTTTCCGTCCTGCCCACTGCTCTGCCCGCATCGCTCAGGGTAGTTAACAACAACCTGATGCTCCTGGGCTGAGAGCGTAGTTAGGTCACAGCTGAGTACTTTTGGAAATGCAGTACTGGGGCTGATGGTGTTTGAAAGGTCAAAACGTGTAGTCCCTGAAACTAGCCGAGGCTGGCATTTTCCACAGAGTAGATATTGTTCTGCATCTCTTGGAAGCATCTTTCGGAGGGGACCTTCACCCCCCTCTCTAAATATGCCTCTGTCAACAGCAAAACTGCATGCACGAAATGGTTTGCAGCATGTTCTCAGGAGTATGGCTTGGGTTTCTGTCTCTGTTTCTCTGCAGGGAAGTGTATCAGTACAAGAATTAAAACATGCAATAAGTGAGGGGAAAGAAAGAAATCCTGACTGTTTCACGAATTTCTAGGCTGCTCTTGAAAATTCAGTTCTCTGTGTCTTAGAGCTTTACAAACCAAAAATAGAAAACAAAATGCTACTGAAAGCTGTGTAATTTACTTTCCCAGCTAGCCTGGTGTAGGCTTTTTGTGCTCTAGCTTTCTTAAACACAGATGCTGACGTAAAAATACTGCTGAACATTGCTAAAAGTTATTTTGCTGGAACTGTATCATTTTAAATTATGTAAAAAATGTAAGAAACTGAATCTTAAAAGTACATACGGTATAGTAGTCAAACCACGGTGCTTCAGGGAAGTATACATCCACAGATCTTGCTCCCTGTAATTGTTATAAAGTGATTAAGGCCTTTTTTCTTTTTGCATTTCTGATATTACATTAGCTTTATTATATTTGCACATGGAGAGATGTATGCTGAATATTCTAATAATATCAAATCTTGGATGTTATGGCTGAGTTATTATCATAGCAGTGGACTACCGCTGGCTAATCTATAATGCTAAACAAACAAGCCTATCCTATTTGGGTGGGTTTGCTGCCATTCCGTGGCATGAGTCAAAGTTATGTGATTATTTCGGTCTAGTACATGGCTCTGTGTCTTGCAAATGTAACTGGCCTAGCTGCACTCCTCCAACATCTGAGCAATCCCAGGGAGGTCCACGGCAGCCTTGGCACGACAGGACTTCACATCTGATGACGGAGTGGGGGGACACCACTGCTCAGTGCCTCTTGCAGAAACAGGTGGAGAGTAAGGTCTGGCAAGGAGGGTACACAGATAGTTGTCTTCTTGGCAATAATTTAAAGTTGCAGATAAATAATAATAATAAATAATGTGCTGCTAATTGCACAATTGCTGTACTTCATTTTGCAGCATGTGTTGTGTCGTATTGCTGCAAGGACGAAATCACGCTAAAGACACTTTGAATTAATAACTCCAGAAAAAGTTGGAATCAAAACATATTTTCTTCTTTGTTGCAAGCTGCTTGTTCTCACCAACAGCTTAATTTTGATACTCAACATAGGTGTCTGCCCCTTTGCAGGGTTGTGGTTTCCCCAGGGAGCAGGTGGAGCATGAAAAGTAAAGGTGGAGGAGAAGAGTTAAGCCAAAGTTACCATCTGACATTTTAGTGATTATTATTATACATATATATAAATATCTATATAGATATATAAACCAATAGAAGGAGTAAGAAATAACAGATTTATTTAAAAAATGAAAATTTCACATTAGAATACAAGAATTGCTAAACTAAATTTGTCTTGTCCTGTGGCCTGTCTCCCGCAGTGGGCAGTGTGAGGTGTTTCGGGCAAGGTGTCCTAGTGCTGCGGTAAGGAAGGCTGGGGTAGTTTGCTTTGTCTATTTAGATCTTAGTAGCTGTTTAACAGTTACAGGTAGGTTTAATCTATAAAGTGCCTTGAAAACTTGAAGGAAAACCCCTACAAAGTCAAGAAGCCCCTCTCCATATTTTCTCTGCGTTATTATGACAACCCTGGATATGCTGGTCTGCAGAGAAACGTGTAACCACCACCTGAATCGTGATGCACCTTGCCTCTATGACTCCCTAAATAACAAGCCAGTGTGTAGAGCAGTTTGCCATTTTAATTCTGATGGATGTTTCACTTGCTCGCATGCTAGGACTCAAGGAGCAAAGGGAAAGCTGTCCCTGACCCATCTTCTCTAGACAAGCAGGTGCCATGCTGCAGTTTGATGCAGTCGCTGCTGGCCTGCAATGCCACGGTGCGGGGCTTACAGCCTACCTCTGCCCTGTACCCAGCTAGCTGGCACAAGCCCTGGCCACCACCTCCCTCCCACTGCAACACCCAGCTACATGTCTCTTCTGAAGCTCTGCGTCCTCTATCAGGCCACGGGCACCCAGCCTTCCTTTTGTGCTGCAGTGCCCCCCAAAACATTGAGAACCCATAATCGAGACCCTCTATCATTTTCTTTATCCTTCTAAAGTTCCCTTTCATTCACTTCTTCACAAGAAGCCACCTGGCTTGTCACCCTCTCTTCATGGGAAGGTTTCTCTCACATCTTTCATCATCTTGCTGGTCTGATACCCTGTGAAATCTCCCTGTTAGTCATCAGCTGTTAGAAACCTGGGGGAGTCTGAAGATGAAGGACTGACAAATGAAGTTCCTCAGTGGAGTCAGATGGTTTTAGATGCAGGAATAAGAATTTCATTTTAAATTCACAGAGGCATAAGGACTGGTTAAAGAAAAGGTGACTAGCAGTGGCCTGTTTATATATTTGATCATCAGCAATGTCCAGAAAATGTGTCTGTTATTCTGGCAGCATGCTGATCACAAACAGCTCTAGGAGATATCCCATGCAAATACTTAGCTCTGCTCAGATATACCTTTCTGGTGCTGTCAGCAGTCAGTGGTGGGGCAAGGAGAGAAACCCACCCTTGCTCCAGCCAAGCAGCGAGAGCCCTGACCTCAGCGCCATGCCCAGCACAGCCATAGGACAATGCTGCTCTTTAAAACCTGTCATATCAGCAGCTAACATTGTCATTACCATTTCCATAACGACTGTGCCTGTGATGCTGGGAAACTCCTAGCACAGCCCTTGAGATGCTGTAGTTCCAGAACGCTGTGGGTGAGTGGTAATATGGAAACCAGCTTGCTTTCATATCTGCATGTTTCTTCCTCGCTCTGCAATTACTGCTCTGCGTGCGCCCTTGGAGGGAGTTGTCAGCACAGCAACAGGAGCAGGCAAGCAGCAGCATCCAGCCTGTTTACATCCATTCAGCACTTGGAGTAGCAGGGAAATGCCGTGCCCTTACTTTCACCCTCCCACTTCAAGCACTGGGCAGCTCTGCACTGTCTGTGCTGCTCAGAGATGCGTTCTGCAAGCTTTGACAGTGGAGAAATGGGTGGGTATGAGCAAACATGCCCTGAATGTCATCCAATGCCCTAAGCATAGTTCATTTCTTTTATTCCAGTATGATGGCATTTTTTAATTACAGTACTTGCCTCTTGAAGAACAGGAGCAATCATGAGAGCAGGTCCCCAAAGGAAGGCAGTATCTATTCCATGAGTCTGCTGATCGAAGGTAAATCTAGTGTTGAAAGTGAGATATGCAATGTTAATTCACATTTTTATAGAACTCGCAGAATATTTTGATATTACTCACTGCAACAAGAAATCTGTTTCCTCAAGACATCCTTCAACACCTCCAAATATTTTTCCTGGTTGAGAGAATGCCAAAAGCTGGACAGAGAGTCAGAAATTACAGTAATACATACCATGCTGGAGCAGATCAGAACCCTCACAAAATGCTGGTGCTGATTTCTTTTCAGAATAGCAGCAGTGGGAAAACAAGTAACTAAATTTCTGCCCAGTGGTTGAGACTTCATCGAGGGGGCCAAAGAACAGTATAGGGGCAGGATCAGAGAGGGAACACAGAGGAATGACACTGTGCTTTAGGATCTAAAGCATTTGTGAAAATCCTTGGATCTGGCTTCCTGCACCTTTTGCAGATTTACATTAGAAATCTTTTGCAGGACAAACACAAAGAAACGTTCATATATATTGCGCTTTTTAGCTGCCTTTCCTGAATGGATGAAAGCTTATGGAATTCAGCCCATTTTATTCAATGCATTAAGATAATTTTGGATTCTGATCATGTCCTCCAGAGTGCTTACAGCCCTGTTTGCCCGGCATCATCTGCCAGCTTGGGAAGAGATCTCTATTCCACCATGCATCCACTAAAGAAAATACTGAATAGCACCTGGCAAACAGGAGACATTCTCCCCCTCTCAGGAATGTCCAGTCATTTGGCATAAAATCCTTGAGAATTTAAATAGGCTTTCAATCATTTGTAAGCCTATCTCTGAAGAAATTCGTAACGGATCCTCATTCCCTAATTAGCTTATAAGAATGTCATGTGGAGTGTGTCCCAAGCCTTCCTAAAATCAAGGCACCTTGTACCTTCTGCTTTCTCCTGCTCCACTGCCCCCTCTCCCATCCAACAGCCCTGCTGCCTTGACAAAGATGGCAACTGGGCTGGGTTACCGTTACTCGTCTTTGACATATTCACACTGGTTGTTGCATATTAATGTATTCTTATCTCAGGACATACAAATTATTTGTTTAAAAATTTATTTACTGGGTCTGTGTAAATTACTTTGCAGCTGTTCCTGTCTAAGGACAGGTTTCTGTTGTACACTGGCCGGAGCAGAGCGGCTCAGTGTTGGTGTCCTGCTCTGACACCCTGCCTGCTCCAGCCGCAGGCATACACTGCACCCAGCCCAGACTTACAGCAAGTACCCCTAATCAGCAAAAACAGCTTGACCATAGAAAAGACATCTATCTGGTATTCAGATTTCTAAAATTTTGCAAGTTTAGGGGAGTATGTGGAACTCAGGATAAAATGTTCTGGAAGGCATGCCTCAGGCTCTGCCTGAAAGAAACCTCAGTTTATTCGGAGTTTCTTTTTCTGTCAAAAACAGTAGCTCTTTTGGACACCTTAATCTTGGTCATTATTGCATTTTGACATAATGCTTTGTAAATATTTAAAGTGGGGTGTGTTTTTTGATTAATTACCTTGTCTTCAAGTTTTTGAAATATAAACCATTAGTTTTTCTTGTCATCTCAATAGCTTCTCTGTATTTTTAATTTCGCTGTAGTAAAATTATGATACTGATTCAATATACTTTGTTGTGGGAGATTTCAGGACAAAAAGCTGATCAAGAAATTATAACAACAGAGAAGTTGATCTTATTTGCACGTGGAAACAAGCGTGTCACCATCTAACTCAGCAATACTTTCTCTTGCAATTATAGCAACCAAAAGCACAAATTCAGCAAACAAATTAACTTTCCCATTTTGAAAATAACCCTTTAAGCTATATCTGTGATTTATGAAAAGGGCTTAATTCCATCTGCATGCTTTCTCTGTTTAGATGCTGGCCTCTCTTCTGTCTTGTTTTTCCCCTGTTTAGCCATTAAGCAGAGCTTTCCCTTCCAGTAACGGAGTACCACCTCCCAGTCTTCTTGAAGAGTTAAGCTACTGGTGCCTCTGTTTCACGGAGTGAAAGCCTCAGAGGCACCTAAAACTCTTACAGGAAACTACTGGGATGTTGTTCTTGTTTCTTATTTGAAACGAGCACCTAAATGTTTGAAATGAAATGAAAAATCTGAAATGACCACATGAAAACACTATTGCTTGGAGACTCCCTGCCCAGGCAGAGTTGTTTTCACGGTGAGGCTTGTGAACTCGTAACAGCTCCATCTGAAAACTTAGTGCAGTTTTTTTGGCTCTGCTTTGTATTTGTTATAAGAGAAAGGCTTGACGTAGAATTCCATCATCAGTACATTGAAAATTCTGTTTCAGTTCTCTCTTTCTCGAAAACCCACATTTCTCCTCCTGTTAGCTTCTGGGTCACTTTCTCTACTTGAACAGACCGACTAAACCAATGAATATTAATTAGAAATAGTAAGAAATACTCATTAAGTAATAATAGTAACCAGAATTGACTAATAGTCAGAAGAAATACTTTCAAGCCATTTTAGAATCTACCTACGGCAACATTTGCAAGTGATGTGCTCACTAGGATGTGACCCGGATAGAGAAAGAGTTTGTGCTGATCTCCTGATGTCTACACTCCCTGAATGCATTTTAGAGGTTTTACTTCCTAGTAATCCCGATCTGGTACCACTGACTAAGCTCCCGTCAATGGCTGGAGTGCATCTTTTGTCTCAGCTTCACCCAACAGAAGTCTCCACTAGTTCATCTGAGACTGCTCTACAATTCAAATCAAAGCAAATGTGGAAGTTTGCCAATGTAGATGTGGCCCGAATAGAGTACAAGTAAAGGATGCTGGGAGTAGTCAGAAAGGCAGCTTTAACATCACTAAAGTAATTATATATTAGCAGAGATTAGCTAATATTAATGCTAAAATGAACTCGGACATTTCCAATATTAACACAAATATCATTAAGCAAAAATACAGCTAAAATAAATACTTGAAATACCATATAGCCCCTTGTAAGACATGAGTACCTATAAAACCTCTCCTAAATGTACCCAGTTAAATAAGGTATCAGAGTAGCAAGGGGAAGGATACTGCTTTTAAAATTTATCAGTTAACCATTACACTGAGTAAGTAAATCAGGTTTTGTGCATATACTTTCTGTACTCGAATGGCCTGCACTTTAGTGTAATCTCAGTTTAATTTGCAAAAAATGCCTTACCCTTTAACCAAAATGTTTTTGACCTAAAGGGAAAAAGAACATTAAATAATCCAGGATGTAGCCTGCACCAATGAGACTAAATTGTGTCAGAGCTTCAGGCAGTAGTCTTTCGTATGTGTTATTTGCAATCCTTTTGCTGAAGTCTTTGTATAAACCATTCTGAGATAGAAAATTTACCAAAAGCAGGTAAAAAGCTAATTAAAAGATGCTGAGAGGGAAACTAAACCTCACTTTAATTCCTGCTTCTCCCAAACAGAAAAAGAGAGTTATTCCAAAAATCTGAGGTCTCATTTTCCGAGGTATTTTTCAGTCTGTGTTTATTAATCTCAGCTTTGCACCTGCTTCTACACTCAAACATCTCTATCTCTGTTTTCTCTGTGCAATTTGTGGACACAGATGTAGGTTTCATACATAGCATGCAGATGCAAGTGCTAAATTGGAAAATGCAAATGTTGTGGATGATTGGATTGGAAAATGGAGCCTGCTCTGTATGAGGCCTTCTTGACATTCTGGACTGGAATACAGATTTCATAGATTTAAATCTAATGCAGAAAATATAGGTATGTAACTACTAATTTAAAATAAAAAAAAAAGACTGCCTATTTGCCTAAAACAAGAAATTTTCAGAATTCTTCTTCCATAGTTTTTTCATTTGAAACAAATGTAGGCTATACTTTAATGAAAATCCATTGCCTATGTTAAGAGTTATCTTTGTTGCATATAATTGGATTAGATTTCATTGTGGAAATGTTCTTTTTAAGAGACAGCATGCAATAATATTACTATGACTATTGTCAGATATCAACTAGCTTATACATAGAAGCTCAACTCCCGTTGTGAGTCAGATATGATAAAAAAAGAGGGACTCCAAACTCACTCGTGCATCAGTGACCGCACCACCGTGTTTCCGTGAACATGAGACTCGAAGAACAAGGTGTATAAGTATGGCAGCAGTGAGTATCTGATCCGAAGCGTAGCACGAGATATCTTGGCAAACTCTTCTCCAAACACTGCTGGGTCTTGTTCCTGTTAAGGAAAAGCTTTGTTTTGTACTGAGCATTATAACAAGGAACTGCAGATTCGACAGAGAACCTGCATGCGACCTAAAGAAAGCTGTTGCTGACATAATCCTACGAACATGAATGTTTAAGTAAGAAGAAGTACTGATCTGCAAACTGGAAGCTGTAGTAAGAACAAGGTCCATTATCAGCAAGCTAATATATGTATAACATTTTTCAACCTCAAAAAATTCCAGTGAGTTCAGAGAGATCAGGCCCCACTGCAGTGCACGTGAGACATCTGCAACCACCCCTAACCTCGTGATGGGAGGGGAGCTGGGGTTTCATGTCTGTAGCTGAGAACAGACACCCTGTCTCTAGAAATTAATTTATCCTGGAGATGGAAGCCCTCTGGGACAGAGAAGATGAACCACAGGAAGAAGGGAAGACTGATAATCTGCAGAACAAAGGCAGAAGCGTAATTATGTTGGCCAAGAACATAAAGGCAAATCTATTTAGAAGTAAGAATGAATTCATGGCCCTGCTGAAGCCAACAGGAGTAACCAAAGTCACTGTGTGTGGTGGGGAAAATATTTCATCCATACAAACAAACTCGATTTCTCCTCCTGTACCCACTCTCTTAGGATGCCCCAACCGAGAGGACACCCATGCATCAGCAGTGCCCCTTGCCTCCTCGCTACCAGTGATGCTCTCCTGGCAGAGAGGGCATGCATGCTGGGTCCCACCATCAAGAGGGCAGGTTGAAGCCTGTCTACGTTCGTTGGCTGCTTCTGGTCTACTTCAAGGCAACCTTGACTCTCCCCTGCGATGGGATGTGAAGCATGTATCCCAGGGCAGTGCTGATAACTGAGTCAGCTAACAAGACACACAGCTCCCTTCCTCCTTCACAAAATTTCCCACAATGCTCAGTTTTCTCATTAAAACTGAGGAATATAAGATGAATTGCAAGGATAATGAAACATAAAAGGAACACAAGTAACAAAGCTTTTTATGTTATCTAGTGCTTTTCAGAAAGGAAAGTATTAATTAAACTATTTGAAATCCCCAAAGGATTAGGCAAAGTGCATATTTAAGATTTCATTTTAGCACTAACTTAATATTAATTAAACTCAATATTTAAGTTAAATTTCTCCATTATTATGTTTACATCAGAATTAGTCACTGATAATATTCCCTGCTGGCTCTGAGCTCTGGAGCATCCATCTATTATTTCAAAAATTGCACTATATTTTTAACAGTATTCTGACCCTGTACAAATATTGCCTAAATTCACAAAAAAACAGTCAGGCTTCTTAGGTGATGCTGAGTCACCCAAAATGCCTTGTTCATTTCTTTCAGTGAACACAATGTTTTAAATGGATCTAAGTAATCCAATTAAACCAAATGTATCTTCTGTTACTTCTGTCATTCACTCAGTACTGAGTTGCAGTTCCCATCATGTAGACCCATTGCTCGTTTCCTGTTTATTAAGTTGTGCATATGTGATTAATACCCACTCACCCAAGTCAGACCCTATTTGCATGCCCAAAGGGCCAAGCAAACATATATAGATATAGGTACATCTAATTTTATTGGAGAAGTAAATAGAAAATATTTATCAAGAGCAGCAGATAACATTTCACAGACGTTTGTTCTCCTAGAGAGAAATATCTCAGCATATCTCAGGGATCTACAGGGTAATTTCTGACCCTCTTAATGACAGCACTATAGCTTATTACTCCTGCATTTGCCCAGTTGCTGAATGTCCATCGTAATTCCATGCAAAGACAGAGGTCTTTCTGGGGGTGTAAATGTTGCAACATTTTGATGGTGCAACGGTGCAACTTCAGAGAAAACTGAAGGTTAGCTAATAACTTGAGGTCCAACGTTGCACAGATCAGTTTACAGAAGGAAAAAATAAAAGACATTTGTTGAACTAGCAGAACCATTTCATCACAGTTGCAGATAAACACAGTGTACTTACAAAGGCTGCAAGGCCTTCGAACTATTCATAGTTAGAAACAGCCTGGTACTTCTGAGGCAAGTCTTGAAAGGACTTTACCATAAGTCAAAGCTGGGGCATGGGCCTGGGCTAACTGCACTTTTTCATCCTTCTCATGGGCCTGTTGGCCTTTTTCAGTTGTTGTTTCTTCTCGGCTGATAATGCTGTTGCTATCGCTGGTTCTTCTTGGAGCTCTCACATTTGTCTGGAGTTTCTGTCTACAGAATTTTTCTGAAACTTGCTTTTAAACAGCAAGGGTGGTGTATAATGCCCTCTCTCCCCTTCCTGCAATACCTATTATAGTTACAGAAGTACTGAAATAAAATCAAAGTCAACCAGGGAGTCGGAAGATGTGCTGACACTTATTGGCTCTTCTATAAAACCTTGGCTTCAGTAGGTAAGAGGTGGAGGGGATGAATCTACCAACAGCATGGGAAGACCATTTTCTGTCATTCAAAGTACATGGCACATGTATCTGCGTAGCTTTTGGAAGTTAGCTACTACGTATTTTTCAGCGTTTCTATGTCATCTTTACATTATGGATGGGAGAAATTTATGCTTCAGCGTGTAATTTCTGTTCTCATTGCAGCACTCCTTTTCACCTGCCACTCCAGTTTACCCAAGAATGGCAGGTTAATTTCTGAGAAAGTAATACAAATCACCGTCATCGTTACTGTAATCATAGACTACAGATTTGTGTAACTTCATTTACTTACACTATTTCCCACTGCATTGTGGTTCCTGGAAAATGGATAGAAAGAGCCCAGCTGCATCCAGCGCAAGCACAGTTCATAGGCAGTGTCATAGTTAAACCCACAGATATCAGCACCGATCTGAAAAAAAAATAGAATCGTTGGGTAAGGATTTGTCATTTTGACTGAGGCCCAGAAATGAGATACCACAGAAGTTTGTTAATAAAAATAATTTTTGGAAAGAGACACCAACTTCTCATGACTTATAAGAATGATCCATAAGGATATGATTTTTTCCAGGACTGAGATTGTACTGGCTCCTGGGAACATTAGCACCACTGTGGAAGATCTGATCATATTTCACTAATTCTACAAATTCTCCAGCCCAGCTTACAAAGCCAGAAATATATGGAGAGAACTCAATGATAGAATACATAATATAAAGAGATTGCATTTGGATGGCATTCAGTGATTTAATCTGAATCTAGCAGAGCTATTTTTGTTTCTCTTCAGCCAGCCAAGATTGATGACATTTAGCTTTTTTTAATCTGCAGTTCCTTATGCTGTGAGGGCCGTCACTGCTGGCCGTCTCAAGCAGCTTATTTCAGAAAACATTTGAGTTAATTTGAAGTGATATTGTATATGAGCCACCAACTGCCTGCAGGACACCAGACTTACGTAGGGGATACCAAAGAGGTTGAATTCCAGGATTCCAATGATTGACAGGTGCATGTCATTCCACTGAGAGAAGTTGTCACCCAGCCAGTGACCCCCATGCTTCCCACTGCCTACGAATGTAGACCGACTCAAGACAAATGCTCGCTTTCCAGTTGCCTGTTGGGCAACACTGTGAAGAAATACAACAAGATCATTAAAAATAAGAATGGTAACCAAAAGAGTCATATGACCAACCTGAGCTTTCAGGCACAATTTTGTCTGAAGGGGTGTCATTCGTGAAACAATTATTATTGTGGTCCCAAGTCATGTGAAAATGTGGCTGCAAAACTGCGAATAATGGTAAGTTCTACTCAGGGGCCAAAATAAAAAACTAAAATCTATCTATCTGATCCAGAAAATAATTTGTTTCAGGTATTTTTAGTATTCCTAAAAAATATGTGTTTAATTTATTCTCAACAGTATATCAAATCGAAAAATTGAAAAATAATTTCCTTTCTGTATTAGTACATTTAATTTAGTATCCTACAGGTTCCGAAAAACCAGTATAATATGGTTTTTTTTTCATAGAGGATTTATTTAGAAATTTGTATTGGCAAGTAAAGTTCTACTATCCAGGAATTTAAAACTAGATCTGAACATCTTAAAAAAAAATTCAGTATATAGAAAACAAAAATTTAATCATTCAAAATATCACCCAATCCTTGTAGTATTTCCTCTGGTTTCCTGTCATTATTTGATATATGAGGTTTCATTACAGAATTAGTGGTGTAATGATTTTTTCCTTGCCTTTTGAAAATTATTTTGCTGCATCACCAGAAAATCAAGGAAGTGCAATATGCCTTATTAATAAATCTGTTACAAAATTCCTCAACATAGGATAATCTCTGTACATTATTACATATTGTAATATTATATATTGCAGGAACTAAAATTCAGCTGTGCTTTAATATGATCTGGGCAACACAACTTAGATTCTCTGGGAAATCCTAGCATGAAATACTAATCAAGTTTTTCAGCACCCACCTCCTTCTCGCTTTCCTTAATTAGATTTGATCAGGAGCTCTTTCATCCCTATTCGTAATGGCCAATATCCAGTATTGGCTCTGTAATGGCACAGACCCTTGAAAACACATCAACATTTGTTTCTGAAGCAAAAACCCAGCCAGCTTTCATGCAAGCCTAAACATATTAACGTTACGGGCAGTATGCAGCAAGAGGTGCAATTCTTGACCCACGTGAGACCTGCTGGTTCGGGATTGTAGGTGCGCTGCTGGGCCCAAAAGCTGCGCAAGACTGCGTGTGCTTTGGATAAATGGCATTTTGGGGCCATTTCATGGATGTCCTGAGTGTGAGTCCTCTCCTCTGACTGTGCATCACAATTCTTTGGCTCCATTTGCAAATTCAGATGCTAATGAAGGCAACATCAGAGCAACTCAACTATGACCCAGAGCTGCATAAACAATATGCTACAAGTAATTTATTGAATAAATTTCTGTCTATTGTGAACCATTGCTGAACAGGTCCTAATGTTGTCAAATGTATTTGTTGATTGATATTATTTACAGAATATCATGTGCAAATAACTCCTGGTGCTAAGCTATGCACAAGTTGATTGCTGCTAGTTCATGTATTCAAATTCAAGCCATTTGACATGGGTCAGATGACATATGTCCTATTCTCTGGCTGCATTAGAATAATTCTTAGAATTGTTTTTTATACAATTATGAACTTGTTATTTGTTTTCAGCCAATATCCTGCAATTGATGCTGCTGTGCTAAATATTCCTGTCAGGAATTTAATTTAGTACATTATTTGTGAAGAACGAATGCGGAAATGGTATACAACTAGCCTTGAAAGGAAACGTGTTTGAGAAACCCAAATGAATATGTATGAAAAGCTCTCCACCAAAGTTTCCCAGCTTTGCAGTGAATCCTGCCTCTGCTTATGCTTTCAGTGGTGTTCTCCAGTTGTGAAGGTCTCTCTGGGTTTGGCTGAGCAAAACATGTGTTTCTGTGGAAGGAGCCCTGGAAGAAAGCACTGCAGGACTGGGGAAGGTTCACAGCCTTGGGGGAGGCTGCAAGGAGCCTTGCAGCAGTACCCGCCCCAACAGCGTTGGTCCGGGTTAGCGTGGCCAGGACAGTGTGTACGCTGAGGGGGCTGGGGAAGATAATGTCAGCACACAGAGCTTTTCCTGCTAAATTCACAAGGCTTGTCTCAGGCAATTGGCTTTGCTGGCAAAGAGCTTGAATAAAACTAAAAAAACAGCTCAAGAATATAGGCAAATCCGAAGTCTCTATTTGAGCCGTGTTACCAAGACAGTGGATGGTTATGTGGGCCCCAGTGTGCAGAGGACAAATCCCGGTGGAGAGACCAGTGATGGGAGGATCTTTACTGAGACTGGGGCATGGGGGCCCCAAAAACATACAAAGTCGCACGTGCCCTAGCAGGGCTGGGTGGCCAGCAAGGGTTTGAAGGCTTTCTGCTCCTTCTCTTGAAAGCTGGGGTCCTCTGCACCCAGGCCCACAAGAGCTGGCAAACTGCTTCTGGCTTTTACCCAGCGCTTCTCTTCCCCCAGGCTTGGCGTACAAAACACAAATGCATCAACACTGTAAGTAGGCTCGCTTAGCCATGTTCTTTGGATGCCATGACAGTACAACTGGTGAAAATGAGTGCTAAATAGTGAAAGAAGCCAGCACAAGGACCCCTGCTCTGGCACTCACATTGCAGTATTAAACTTCTCCGTGTTTTAGCTCAAGCTCTGGTGGAAAAGGCATGATTTGCCCATTTGATTTAACCCAACAGCTAGCTTTCCACTGTCACTCCAGTCCACAGTCTGCCTGCATAAGCCAGGTTTGAGTGCTTCCCAGCTACAGAATCAGTTTTACAGTAGCCGACAGCAATTGTGCTGCAACGCAGCTCTGCCCTCCTGGCCTGACTAAGCCCCAAGCCAAAATGCCAAACGCTGCCTGCCAGGAACCAGAGGCAGCTCCAGAAGCAGCTGGGGGGGCTGCACAGTTTGGACACTTCACTGGCGGTGACAGAAACTCCTCTGCTTGGGCCACGGTAATGAAGGGATGGAAAAGTTCCCCTGGCACCGCACAAGGCTGCTTCTGCAGCAGCTGCAGGTGAGCAGCTCCAACAGAGGACAGGAACATCTTGCTCGAGTTATACAAAAGCAGCAGCTGAAGCGTTAAGCCCTCACAAGCAGATCCTGATTTTAGCTAAGACAAGTAAAATTGGAAAAGATTCTGTTTCTTCTTCCGAGATTCTCTTTTCTTGATATTTCTCACTAAATGACATAGAGTAAAATGAAGCATGGGGCTGTTTCTTATTAGATCCTATTACAGATTTCCCAGGTAACATCAGAGGCTTTTAAAATGTATTTTAATCACCTGAAATCTTTGAAAACTTACTGAAAAGTTAGTGCTGTCTGTGACCAGCCGAAGAGGGAGTGCGTGTTATAGTGCTCTCCCAGATAAGTCTTGGAGTCGGGACACAATGTCTTTTGCGCCAGGGAACGGTCAGAAATGTCTGAGAAGGATACAAAACACTGTCAAATTATATACGTCACAGTCCAAATCTCTTCCTATTTTTACTCATTTAGGAGTGAAAACACCAAAGATTTGGGAAGACGAAAAGCTGAAGAAGTTCCAGATCTGCCATGAACAGCTGCTTGCCGACAGGCACCTGTTTTTAGGAGGGTGAGATGGCTGAGTAAACCCTGCTAATCAATTTCAAGTTTTATGTCAATAATTCAAAACACCTGTACAGATATCAAGTATTCAGTAAGTAACAGCCAGAAAGAAATATTCTGCATTGCTGAATTAAGAACATACCTACGTATTCTTTTACATAGTGACAAATTTTACTTAACAGCAAAGATGCTGCAAGAAAAAAAGAACAAAACCAGAAATTCAGACGCCCAGGGAACTCATACGGTTGTGCAAAATCACAAGACTTCGGTTTGTGTATCACTCAGCTGCAGATGCAGGTAGGCAGCACAATTCTGCCTTGTCATGGCAAAATTTACACCTAAGCTCAAGTCTGGCCCCTCTCTTCCCCTGAGACATCTAAGACTAAAAGACAACAGGACTTGTGGCACGGCCCCAAGCTGCACTGCGAGCGATGAGTGGGGAGTGTCGGACATGTGCAGGGGAGGAAAAAGCATGAGGTGCAGCAGTCCGCAGGGAGTCCTCTGCTGTGGCCCGATACGCTGCATGGGAGAGAGCGAGGACAGATTACAATGGGAAAATTCACAGGCGGATGGATTATGCAGTAACTCTTTCCATCAGCAGGTCACGGGCAGTGAAGGCAGAGGCAGCTTTCTGCCTTCAGTAACAGTCGGGAGTAGCCCTAATATCGCTGGCACAGCACCTATTTAGCTGAGCCGAGGGGAAGCAACACGGGGCAAAAACTGGCTGCACAGATGCTGCCTGATCTTTGATCCCATATTAAGGAGATGCTAGCAAAGCCCATTTGGTCTGGAAAATGTGATTCTCCTCCTCTGCAGGTAACCTCCATGAAAATGCCATGTGAAGTTCAGCGGAAATTGGGCAGGTCGGATGTTTGGTTTATACACTGTTTATTTTTAGAGATGGAGTTGAAAACATTATAAAATCCTCTGAAAAAAAGATGATAGATTCTTAAATATTGTTCTTTTGTATGCTTTATTAGGTGCATGCACTATTGTAAGTATTTCTCCATGAGCAAGCAATCTCAGTGCCTAATCACATTTTACTGTATGTTCACAGATCATTATGACAAAGTACATTTGTCTGTACCTGAAACCCCATTAGCCTCTTTGCTCTGCTGTGCCACCACAGCTGGAACCCCTGTGTCTGGATCCTTAGGCAAGACAACTCCAATGTGGCTGATCGGCATCAGAAATAATTTATAGGAAATTTCCAAGTAACTTTGACTGATACGTCTTTGAAGAAGACACTAAAGTTCTGGGGAAAGTCACACTTAATGTCCCAGTGGCACTTAATTATTAGCCCCATAAAATTAAGGTGGAATATGAAGGAAAATGCCTCTGTGAGTCATATTTTCGTTCTTCATTCTTATTCTGAGTATTTTGTATTCTGCCTTAGCAATACTGATAATTTTACAATTGCATATTAATCTTCAGAATAAAGTGTTTTATAGAAAACTGATTTGAAGGACATCTGTTTTTAGAAGTTCAAACCATGGTTACATGTAATCGTGGTTGTAATTTAGATAAGCAAGCTGAAGGCTACATTGCCAAAAAGCCTGAGGCATGGAGACTGGGACTTGCACAGTCACAGTCACCTAAGACAACAGCGAGCCTCCAAACCCCTGCCAATCCCAGGAAGGTCCTAATGTCTTCTTGGACTAAGCTGCTTATGTCCCACCTCACATATACACCAGTCAAGGGCTTGGACAGCCAAGGGCACGCACAGTGTTTGCAGAAAGTGGAATATAAAAGAAAGTCCTTAAACACTGGTTGAAAACAGATCTCCTGCACCTTGGGAAAAATGCCCTAGGCTCCTGTCTCCAGAAGGGAGACCAACACTGTGAGTCCCAAGAAGAAGCAGGTGCATCCTTGCACGAGAAAGAGCAAGTCAGAAAGAGAAACTGGCCTCAAAACACACCTTTCTTCAGCATCCCTCGTTGTCCTGACAAGTCATCTAGTTGTCTAGGTCTCTAAGTCTTCCTCTACAATGGCTGAAACTTCAGAGCTAGTTGTTGCAAAGCTCAGCTTCACGGCTCAGAAACCTCGTATGGGTCCATCCCTCAGTCCTTTATTTGTGAGGGTAAAGGCAGCTCTCCTGTTCTGGCCACCATCCCCAAAGTCTCACACCTTTCTTTTGCAGCTCTGAACACTGACAAAAATGAATGTAACTTAAGGCAAAGGTAGAAACATCTCATCAGTTCCTGGACTTTGGTCAATGACAGGACCCACAGGGCCAGTAACAACAGTTCTAATCAGCGCTTTCCCCACAAAGAGAACAAACACCAAAATAATAATTAAAAGCTCTGCTTCTGGTTTCAGTAATTTACAATTTTTCTATAGTATTTTGTCATGCCTTTCTTACGTTTAGGTCTGTCTTGTTTTGGAGTGAAAAGAAATGAGATTTAATAAATAAAATGAAGAAGGCACGTGACAGTACAACAGCCAGAAGGGAAAAAACGGAGATTTCTAATATTTCACTGTCAGTAACTCATTTAGGTATAAACTTCCTGCTGCATATTAGCATTGCTCGGGCAGCAGGGCTTTCCTGGGGAAATGTTGGCTGGGTTAATTGCCAGGACCACTGGCACTAATTGTAAGTACACATGGCTTCCTGAGGGAGAATGAGCATGTCATTAACTCGGCTACTGGAAGAGGTGTTCCCATTTCTATCAGTCTCCCATAGGCTTGGGCATTTTTAAACTTATTTTTAGCCCATTTCTAGTAAGACAATGAAAATTTCTTTCCTACAAGAAAGAAAAGATATTGAATTAAGGCACCAGGGAGATTCCATCTTCCGTGTCATGTTTGTGGAAAAAGCAGAAACTGCTCATCCCTGGGACTAGCATTGGTGATGGTAAGGCAAAAGGGTTACTCATTCCATAAATTCACAGCTGAGCTGCAGTGTATAGGTATCTTGCCCTTTCTCTGATGCAGACCTGTTGCTCAGAGAATGGCAGGGAAGGCCATTCTTCTAGTCCTGTTACAAGGCAGTCCCAGGCTGAACATGAGTCAGCAGTGTGCCCAGGTGGCCAAGAAGGCCAATGGCATCCTGGCTTGTATCAGGAATAGTGTGGCCAGCAGAAGTAGGGAGGGGATCGTCCCCCCTGTACTCAGCACTGGTGAGGCCGCACCTGGAGTGCTGTGTTCAGTTTTGGGCCCCTCACTACAAGAAGGACACTGAGTTGCTGGAGTGTGTCCAGAGAAGAGCAACGAGGCTGGTGAGGGCTCTAGAGAACAAGTCTTATGAGGAGTGGCTGAGGGAACTGGGGCTGTTTAGTCTGGAGAAGAGGAGGCTGAGGGGGGACCTTATCACTTTCTACAGCTGCCTGACAGGAGGTTGTAGTGAGGCGGGTGTTGGTCTCTGCTCCCAGGTAACTAGTGATAGGACAAGAGGCAACGGCCTCAAGTTGTGTCAGGGGAGGTTTAGATTCTATGATTCAGTGACCGAGGAACCTGGCTTATGTTTGGTACTCCACCAAAGCTGAGTCAATTGAGTCCTGAACAAATACGTAACTGAGCACGCAGAACAGGGAGAGAAAGATGGAAAATGAGAAGATGGATTTTTTTTGTAAGAAATAGCCTATCCAGCATTAAAGAAAAAAAAAAGGTTGTCAAGGAAACTTTACTTACTAGGAACGTAGGGAGGGTTATTGATATCATTAACAGCGCATTCAGGATACTGACCATTTAAGAAATTGGACGGTTCGTTCATATCCTTTTATAAAGAGAGTAAGACACATGTCAAAAGCCTCATTTCCTTTTTTTAAAAGAAGGGGGGGAAAATATAATGAAGACATACAATCCAGATCCCATCGTAGTCAAGCACATCCTTAAACTCCAGACACATCTGGGTCCACCACTCAGCTGTCCTGGGGTTGGTGTAGTCAGGAAACACCGAGTCTCCGGAGGGCCAGGCCTGGAGCTCACAGGTATAACAACCGGTTATCTTCTCATTTCTGTTACACAGCTGCTTTATCACTTTGAAGCAGCACTCGGCCAAACGCATAAACCAACCTTTCCAACAGCAGGAGTTACGCCATCGGAGTTGTTCACCCAGATTCCCATTTCCTCTCCGAGATCGTAAGGCCTGTAAGTGCCTGGTTCTTCGTCCTTAGCTATGAAAGGGTCCTGAAAATCGTGATTACACTTCCATTATCAAAGTCCTAAAGGTAACAATTACTTTTCTATTTATTTATTTTAGAAAAATTTGGATGATGTCCTTAATGCAGATTGCAATAATATCAGAAGAAAACAAAATCAAAATTTAATAGGAGTTGAGAGCACATAATTATTTAGGAAAAGTCATTAAGGATATGTTGAGAGTATTTCTTGTGTAAGGCAAAAGTGATGTGAAATTATTAAATACCCTCGCGTTTATTTTTAAAAGACATTCTATATTGAAGTGATTTTAAAGAGACCCTAGATTTTATGGTCCCCCCTGCCAAGGTCTCTGCTTGGCAAAGCAGGGAGGGTGCCACACTGGCCATTCCCATGCTTGGGCTCCTCTGGGTTTCCTCCAAGGTAATCATCACTCCAGCTGCCTCAGCATCAGCAGCTCAGTGCTACATTGAAATTATGTAACTAAAACTTCTCAATGGGCTTGAAGTTGGGACACATCAACCTCAAAAGGACCTTATTAGCCCTCCCTTCATATCCTATGTCAGACAAGGGTGTTTTATGCCAGCCTGGTGCAGACTGACCAAGCTCATGCATGCTTGAGGGGCCAGACATTTCTGTTCTTCCCAGACATGAAGATCACAGCATTTTACACATCATGGCTCATCCTTCCTGCCGCTTTCACTGCTTGGGGTGGTCACCACTTCACATGGCTGCCAGAAGCATTGGCACCAGCTTCTCTGACCCAGGATGGCCATCAGCATCCACCAAGCTCATTGAAATGGAGCCTAAACAACTCCTGGGGAAGATGGTGGCCTACTATGCCGATAAGTAATAAAGTTAGGAATACTTTGAGATGCCAGTGAATGAAAAGACACTGTTCAACTCTGCTCTACAGTCAACTGGGACTGAGAGGAGCTAAGTGCGCTTTGCACTCTGTCCCTAATTGGAGCAGCTACCTGCTTTTTTTTATTTAGAAGAGAGGAAGGTTGCAGTCATTTTAGAATAAGGGAATTCTTTACTTTTGTCTTAGAAGATATTATTCCCTCAGGTGCTGCCTAAGGCAAAAAACTTTCAGTTATGAAACACAATGGAGAAAAATGCCACTGAACCAATTCTTCCACTCACAGCTTGTGCAATAGTTTACGTTAACTATGATTAAAAGGTGATAGAAATCTAACGATTAAACTTCTTAAGAACAAAAAATATCTGATCCCAAATGGTTAATTTCTTTAAAGGCATGTTTTAAAGCTCACACTAATACCTAAATTAATTGCCTGATTTAACTGTAAGCCCTCAGACAGCTATAGTCCTGAGGAGGAAAGTGTATTCTTCCATATATCAATAACAAAAGCCCCTGCTAAATCCCTACCTTAAGTGCAAAATTCAGTTCAGCTTCAACCATCTAAGCTCCAGCGTCACCTCCATAAAGAGTATACATGTCCATTGCATTTTTAACTTGTTTAATACTTCAGCTTTGGAAAAGAGAAAACTATCCATCTGCAATAATTATCTTATAATTGTGGAAAAAATGTCTCTCAAGGGACTTCACGGCTGGAAGAAGTCAGCTTAATTAGCTACTCCTAATCCAAACTTCTGGTTTCCTTCAGCTGAAAGGTTATCCCAGTGCATAAATCTAATATATTATGCAGATTTAATATCGTGTTAAAGAGAACAAAACCCTGTTGTGCATTCCATGCGTTGTTTGTGGGGAAGGACGTTCTTGTTTGTTAAATCTTCCCAAACTCATCTTTTTAGCAGTTCTTGGAGAGGAGGTGCTGAGCTTCCCTAACTCCAGCTGACTGCCCTAGGACCTGGGGCACCCAGCACTTATGCAGACCAACACACTTCCACCTGTGGCCCCACACACAGATTTTGATGCACAACCATAAGAACTCATCTCTAGAAATTTTAGCATCTACAGCTCATACAGCTGGGATTTAAAGTGTTAAAGCTATCAAGCATTATTTTAAATCATGAGCACGTTTCTTTTGACTTTCAAGTAATTTGTCACTCATGTCATTCCTAGCCGTTTCTATTTTTAGTGTGATTTAATGGAAGGTATACAAGGTCTTTCATTAAAGCTCCTCTTCAGTAATAATGTTTATCATTTCACATTGTAGTCATTGTTACTTTTAGAACTTCTTTCTTTGTTTCTAAAGAACGTACTTGTTCTGACTCAGCTGAAGCATGCACATTATAATAATGATGATCAACTACTGACACTCTTAGACAAAATTTCCCACAAATGGAGGTGGTCTCTGAAAGAGATTAGGAGAGAAGAGTGCTGAAGGACTGCATTTAGAGGCTCCAGTAATGGGGCCATGCGACTATCAAGGTGACCACAGGCATGGAGGGCTCTCAGCTTTGGATGCAAGTGTGAGGACTGGACTTCCTGATGACGAGGCACCAGCCACCCCAGCGGTGGTGGCACAACCAAGTTCAGGGTCCCATCATCAAGAAGGTTACTGGTGTTAATACTGCTGGCTCTCAGGATCTGCACTTTGCTTGTGATCATGGCAGTCTGAGATGAGGAGGACTGAACCCATCTCCCCTAAATCCATTTACTAGAGGTTTTACATGACACTAATTGACTGCAATCAGAGCCCATTTCCTGAAATCATCATGAGGGAGGCAACAATCTGCTACGCTTGGGGAACTCACTCATTACTGTCACTACCCAAAGGGAATCTAAGTAGAAAATTGTTCTTTCGGTATCAAACTGAATTACACTTGCCTTGATTGCAGTTAGCATGGCTTTGCTGTCACTTGGGAGTGAAACCCTTCATACTGTTCCAGCTCCTGACTCAACTTATGGGAATGCTTTACATCACTAAAGAATGCTAGCAGTCAGAGTTTGACAGAAATATCAGCATTTGTAATAAAGTGAAAATAGAACCTTCACTACCAGTGCAACCTATACTTCCCATTAGCTTTTAAAAAATGAAGGACTTACTGGACCAGCTTTTGTTCTTTTTCACAAGCTTGTCTGAGGAACTAGAGCAGAAGATAGTCCTTAGTTACAGGTTAGTGGGAGGAAGAAAAAAGGGCTTCCTATCTGGATTCCCATTAGTTCATTGCATGAATTCAGAATTGTTGTTACATTCCTTGCATCTGCCTAACAGCTGAATTTAGATTTATATAGCAGCAGCTCCTTGCACTTCTCTAGCATGTGCCATCTGAGAAACTGAAAGGGCTTTAAAGATGTTGCTCGAATTAAACTCACAAGTAAGAAGTTAAGGTAGCTCACCCACTAAACCATGACTGCTTGCACGTAACTTCTTACCTAGCAGCAACATAACAACAACTGGAGGCATCCTCACTTTGATGAAAAAGAGGTGACTACCACGTATTTACTGAAGGGCAAGAGTGTGCACAGGAAGAACTACCCCAAACTCACAGCATTTTGCTGGTATATTCATGTCTCGCAAACTTTTTTGAGATAAACCAATAAATGGTCAGGTGGTATTTAATGCTACAGCTCTAAGAGAGTAGATAATTTTTAGAGCAATACTGAGGATACAGGGAGTCTAAACTGCCTAACAGTTGGAAAGAGCGCTCAGTCCTGACAGCACATGTGCTCATCTGCCCCTTGGTTAGTTGTTTACAATGATGTATCCAGTTAATTTTGGACTTCTTTTGTCTTGAATTTGCTCTCCATCAGAGTGACTTAGTAACCCGTTACTGCTTAAATTCTGTGTCTTAAACATCCACTGATGGAAACTATTTTCACTGCTGCACCCTGGAGTGTCTCATGATTTACAGCTGCAGAAGAACTGAGACCTTCGTGGGGATTTATCTTTGAGGACAAATTGCTGGCAAACAGAGCTCACTATATACACTGCTATTTCCATTATCAATATGTAATTGATCACTTGGGCTGTGTGGTTTTATTTGAAATTCCTAGCAGAAAATGCAATTGTAGTACAACAAAGTGAAGGTTAGGCCAGTAATAAACATGAGTAGGTATTTTTCATGAAACTACTGGAAAAAAAAAACAGCAGACTGAAGAACAGCAAACCTCGTAACTGTTTTTTAAAAAGAAAACACTGATATGGATATCTGTGGTGCTGACTAGTCCATCCTCTGTCATATGCTAAACTATACAACAAATTGTGGAGGAAAAAATAAGACAGGGAGGCACTTCTGTCTTGCTTTATCTATTTGACAAGATAATGTGATTTTTAGATGAGGAAACTACAGTAGCTCTCGGTTGTCTTGTCTCCATTAAATGCCTGTTAACATCACCACCATGAAAGAGGAACTGTCCCGCAATCTAGGACTCTCGGTCTCTCTGCCCACAAGCCTTGGACAGTAATCCCACAAGATGAGGAATGTGGCCCTTATTTTAAAAGGACTGGATCAACTTAGGGCCCAAACATTAGTGGCCTGTCTCTTCTCAATTCAGCTGGATTAATTGGTCACATTACAAGTATGAGCCACCAGTGTAACTGTGCTTTGTCATACGAGACAGTTTTTAGCAGAAAGAAGGAAATATATCTGCCATTCTCCAGGCGCTGTGGGGGCATCATCTGGAGCACTGTGAAATCCAGTTATCTGCTACACAGGCAAATGCGTTCAAACTGGGGCACATATGAGGGAGATCTACTACAATGAGATCTGAAGACCTCACCTGATAAAAAGACAATAAAATACTTCAGTTTGTTTAGGCTAGCAGAAAAAGCTGAGGGAGAATATGCTTGTCTGAACAAGTGTATCAAGAAAGTAGAAGGATGAGACACTGGCAATTTTTGCTAAATAAGAAGTGTAGTACCCAAATGAAAGGTGTAAAGGAACATTTAGACTGGAAAACAGAAGACTGCAATTACAGCAAAAAATCCTGAGAGTCTCTCTGTGGGGTTGCCTCCTTCTCCTTCCCCTGTGGGTCAGCTCAGCCTGAGCTGTCCCTGATGCACGTCAGACTTGTTTGCACCACCCGCTTGGGCTTGGCCCCAGGCAGCCGACTCCCTCCTCAGCTCGCCTCACAGACAAGCAGCTTTGTCCTAATGTCTACCTCTTATGCTAAAATTTAAAGCACTTTTCATCTTATCCTATCCTTAGTCGTTAAGGAGAACAAATCACGCCTCTCTTCTCTGTGGTGATGTTTCACACCCGCATGCGACGCTCCAAGTCTCGGCACTCCTGAGCCTTCCCACCCCGGTCCTTCCCAGGTGGTGTGACTGTCTCAGCCTGTGCTGGGCCAGGTCTTATGAATCTATCAAGGACTTCTCTTTAATTTCTGGCCTCCTATTTCCTTGCCACCACTGGTACTCAGCTAGTGTGAGAAAAAAATTCAGTGCAAGGACATGTATGGGAACTCGCTAGAGAGAAGCAGCAATGTTTGTTGGAGAAATTGATGAGGGAAGATGGAAAACTCTGATTTTCACTTCTGCCCAAATTCATTCATTGGGTCGTACATCAATTTTAATTACAGGTTCAAGTTAGGTTTTCGTGCAAACAATCTTCTCTTATATTAACTTAGATGAAAAGTAAAAATAAGGCAAATGTGAACTGTATCTACTAGCTCTCCGGAGTGGTTGAGGGTAGATTTTTTCCCACTATTCTACTATTTTTGTGTGTGTATTAAACTCATTTGTTCTTTTTTAGGAAAGAAATTGAATTAAAGCAATCCTATCTCAACTCAGCCCTGAACAGAGGCAAAATTTCTCATAATTGAGTGGAAAAAAGTGAAAGAGAATGATTGTTATGGGATAGAGGTGGTGCTGGTACACAGATACCTGATAAATGCAACACATTTGAATATGAAATCTGTGAGAAATTGTTCTTCAGCTCTTCTCAACAAATGACAAAAATGGAAAATCTGCTACAATAGCATGCATGCATTAGCACCTAGATACCGCTATGAACACTATGCTGCAAATAGTTCTTCTAAATGGAGAAATAATTAGCAACATCATTAACTTACCAGAATCACGACACTGTGCATTCCTTCCTGCTTCAGCTGTTGGATGTACTCTGGCAGACCTGCATAATTCACTTTATCATAGGTAAAGTCCAGCTGACGTTCCATGGAGTCAATATCAAGATGTTGGACATCCTAGACGTTTTTAAAGTAAACATTACAGGAGTACCGTGTCCAGCTCTGCAGCCCTCAGCACAGGAAAGACATGGACCTGTTGGAGCAGGTCCAGAGGAGGCCACAAAATGATTGGAGGGCTGGAGCACTGCTCCTATGAGGAAAGACTGAGAGAGTTGGGTCTGTTCAGCCTGGAGAAGAAAAGGCTGTGGGGAGACCTTACTGTGGCCTTTCAATACTTCATGCAGGTTTATAAGAAAGATGGGGACAAACTTTTTAGCAGGGCCTGTTGCAACAGGACAAGGGGTCATGGTTTTAAACTGAAAGAGGGTAGATTCAGACTGGACATAAAGAAGAAATTTTTTACAATGAGATTGGTGAAAAACTGGAACGGGTTGCCCAGAGAGGTGTGTTTTGGTTTCGGCTGCCGCCGGCAACAAAAGTGCCACGCGGCCGCCCCCCCCCCCCCCCGCCGCGGGGGGGGGATTGAAAGAAAAAAGGCGGGCTCTGTTTGGCCAGGTGGGGTCAGCCCCCACCCCCCGACTGTGCCCCTTCCTGGAGTCCGGTGAAAATTAACCCTGTCCTGGCCAAACCCAGGACAAGGTGGTAGATGCCCCCGGAAACATTCAAGGTCAGGTTGGAAGGGGCTCTGAGCAACCTGATCTAGTTGAAGATGTCCCTGCTCACTGCAGAGGGGTTGGACTAGATGACCTTTAAAGGTCGCTTCCAACCCAAACTATTCTATGATTCTATGGTTGAAAGAGTTGATACAGAAAATCAGAATGTATGCAACTATATTTCTAAAAGGTAATGTATGAAATGATACCGAAGAGATTTGCTATAATAATTGTAAATAGTTGGCAGGCATAGCTCAGCTCCTATAAATTTATATGGTAGCAATGGACAAAATGGAAATGTAGAATTCCTAGTTTAGCAACTGTTTGGCAGAGATACGCATCAGAAGTACCATAATTTATTTTTAAAATGCTAGCACCTTATACTGCATAACAGTAAATCCACACCAGAATCGCCTGCTATGTGGCCAAAAGCAATACTTTAACCTCATGTTCAAAGCCTGCTTTAAATGTTCTTTTAATCATTATAAAGATATTACGTGTAAAACTACTACATAAAATTATGAACATATTTTTATTCTACAATTGTCTGTGTAGGATAATCACTTTTCCTATATTGTAATTTTATTCATCTCACTTTGGATTGTAAAATTAGCATACACGATGAAAAAATTCATACTTACATATGGGATATCGTAGTAGTGCATGCGATCGACAGTTTCTTTTAAAACATCAATGCTGCCATAACCCCATCGGGAAAGATGAAATCCCAGAGACCAGTAGGCAGGCATGTGTGGGCGTCCGATGGCCTACAGCAGGAACGGGGAATGCGGAAAAGCAAAGGGTGAGGTGAAGAGAAGTTATTCTGAAACACCAGGAGAGGCTCTCAGCTCATTTAAGCCACAAAGATCAGGACACAGATATCACACACACCCATGAAATACCCTTTCCTTCCTCAGAATGGCTCACGGTACAGTATGCTTGGCTTTAAAAAAACGCTTCTCCTGGTGGACCCTTGTCCTAAGGAGAGGCTCTGAGTGACACCCACACTGATCATCGCTTCTAATCATGTCCCAGTGGAAGACACAGTGTATAAAGCCCAGGCTAATGTTAAATCAGGGTCTTGCTGAGGTCTCAGCCTCCGTGCGGTAGCATGTGCCTTCACTTATGCGGTGCACTCTGGCAGAAACCCAGTGTGGAGCGGAGCCTCACACTGCCTGACCCGTGCCAAGTCCACAAACCCTTTGGTCAACAGCAGGTAAATCTCCAAACTTACACCTCAATATCAGCTTTGCTAATTTCTTTTGCTGCATCCAGCTGAACTAACTCAGCAAGAGTCTGGTGTTTATTTGAGCTCTCTGAAGTGTTAATAATATTTACACACCACCCTGATGAAATTCAGTTATTTACGACTGACTGCTCATATTGTTGGCCCACAGCATTGTGTTGCCAGGCACTGACAAACCTCTTCAAGGTCAGAGTTACTGTTTGGTCCTAAAATTCTCAACTGAAACAGGAGGTAGTGAGTTAAATATGATTTTATAAATATTTGATTTCCACTGATTCCACATAATCCATCTGTAAATTGCATGAGGAAACTCGATTGAGAGCACAGGGGAGTGAGGCATCCTGCTCTGCTTCCCCCAATGAGAGCTGCTCTGGCAATCTGCGACAAGCAGCCAGCAACCACGATGTTGCTGTTCTAGAAAAAAGCTGAAATCTGGCATTGCCTCATTAGTGCACACTGGTGTTTTCTGGGGGACATCTCCTGAAATCCTCACTCCAGTATTAAACAGTTAGATCCCATGAAGTTAAACTTTGTTCAGTACTTGTGACATCTTTGCAGGCAATACCTGAAAATCAAGTAAATAGTAAGCACCCATGACTTATTAATCAGTTGCAGCTATTGACTCCCTTTGGCTAAATAACTGTTCCTTCCTTATTTCCTTATGGATCCTCATAGTTAGGTAATTACTCTAAGAAGCGAAAAAGAATGAAACTTGTATATTGGCAGCTAAACCCCCCATCTACTTTAATTAAATAAAACAAGACACTCCTGGCACTCTGTAACTTTTGCATTGCTAAGCTCTCTCAAGATCGCAATGCATAAAGGCACATCTTCCTATGGGATGTTCTCAAGTAAGAGTCTGACCTGGGAAAGCAATATTGAACTTGAAATTGCTCTAAAATACGTAATGGATGCTAGAGCTTGTAGGATGTGCAAACTGCAGCGGACAAAACAAGAGATGCAGGACAGAAGCAAGGAGCAGCAGAGGATGTTTTAATGCACCTGAGCTGGGGGAACACACAGGGAAAATTGCTTGCAAATGAGAGTGGTTTGTGGACAGATATGCGACATTTAACCACCAAGCAATACAACTTTGGCTACACAGTGTGCTTTCGCTTGTTGGGCTGCTGCTATCTCGCCTAAGAGAAAGCAGGAGGAGGCCAGAACAACCAGTGAGGTTAATGGTTTGAGTCCCTCCTGGAGGGATGCGCCAGCTGAGCAGCACAGCTGCCCTGTACGCCTACTACTCGTCCTGTTCCACCAGACTTAACTCACTTCACCCTCCTCAACACCTGCTTCAACCTCCACCTTGGCTGGAGGCTAAGCCCTTCAGAGGAAGCAAGCGCAGTTAACACTTGCTGGGAGAGGCCCTGGACAGAAGAAGGTGGCCCCCAGCCATGCTGGGGGAGGCCGGTGGGCAGAGACATGCCGTTGCCACCATGGTGCAGTCTCATCTGGTTACATGTGTCATTAGCTATTTCCAGCTTGTGTGAACACACCTGATCCCCTAGACCATCCTTTGAGCTCTGTTGGGGTTTCCCATGGAGAGCTGAATGGGGCATAATAGCTTGGGGTGGTCTCCTAGACACCTTGTGAGCTGGCACCGAGGTGTCCAGTACAGCATAGCAAGCCTCAGGGCAAGAAGTCTGCTCCTCTGTCACAACCACACTCGCCATATTAGGTATAAAAAAATCATCCGAGGAGACAGAAGAGCTGGTTTTAGACCAGCCAAAGCTGCAAGATGAGTTCTGTGAACCACACCACTTTGTGCTCCTAAAGCAGATGCACAGTTTGCCCTTGATTTCTCTGCTGTAAACAGAGTGACCTCTGCAAACAAGGTTAAAACACAGACCAAAAGAACTCCCTCATGGAATAAAATGTTTTGTGCACAGACTTCTCCTTTTGGACAAGAGGAGGAGGGAAAGCCAGCTGATAAATATTAATCCTGTGGCTGAACGCAGAGCCCGGTGCCCTGGCAGGATGTCTGCGTTGCATCTGCTGCCTCTCCCAGTGTGAGCCGACTTGGAAATAGGAACTGCCGTGGGGGTTACCAGCCTGGCAGAGGCAGCAGGAACCACCGGGCAGCCACGCTTCGGTCCAGCGGTACGCCGGGTCACTCCTGGATGGGGAGGACAGCCAGCCCGGGGCATCGCCAATATAACCTAGTCAAGAGCTGGATGGGGATGTGCTTCTGCCCCTATGTTCTACTGAGCACCAGCGGGGCTGGAGGTGGAGCTGTGGCCACCGGGATGCCAGCCAGGGTCCTTCCCACACAGCACATCCCCAGCGCTGGGGTTTGCTGAGGTTTGGCTGCTCACCCTTACATGACAATGCTATCTCACCTGCAGAACACAGAGCTGCCCCATGTCAAGGCACTATTTCATGACAGCATCCCTTGAGGAGTCTGGAATTTCAGCTGAGCCAACTGAAGAAAACCCACCTTGCAAGCAAGAAATTAAGTTTTAAAGCAATTAGTTCCCCAGGTTCACCAGGCTGGCACATCTACGGTGAGCTTAATTGAAATCAGCAGAACATTTGAAGAGGAAGGATGAAAACAGGGCAGCTGGGAAAACAAATGTTCTTTTTTCTAATTATGCTGTGGACTCTCTTTAATGGATCCCCCTGAAGTTTCCTGATAAAGTAACTGGCATATGGTACCTACTTGCAGAGGGATCAGCAGAGGCAGGGATGAAATTTTGCAAACCTGAAAAATCATGTTTGATTTGATATATATTTAGGATCTAGTTAATTCATACAGATTGCATTCTGCATACAAATGATCATAAAATGCAGTAGGCAGAGAATGCCTGCTTGGCAAAATTGACTCCCATAGAATCAGAAAAGGTAAATGAGGTATGGCAAGGGAACTGAGGGAGGAAAACATGAGAAATGCAAAAACAGCAAACATATGGGTTATCCAAACCGCGAAAAAAAATAAGGGAAGATACAGTAGTGCAGAAGCAGAAAAAAAATAGATCCTATTTTCTGTACCACAATTCCTCCTGCACTTAGTTCTTAAATAACTCCTGGTGTTGTTTAATAAATTCACTGTTAGTTTTTCCAGGTTTACATAACTTGGCATTATGTAATTTTTTTTCACTTTTTTTGAGACGCACCTGAGAGCTGATTAATCTCGGAGGTACCCTGGAAGCGTTTGGCAGTCAGAACAAACATCAGTGAAAACATGTATATCTAACAGCTGAAATCTGTGCCTGGGGAGCAGGTGAGCTGTATTCACTTTCTTTGTGTTGGGTTATTGGATGAATAATGTTATCACTGTGAGCGCAAAGATATCAACTAAGTTATAAACGTTATATAGTAAATCAGGATCCTATTAGCACGATGACCAAAGACTTTGATGAGAGAGACAGCTGAAGAATTTTGCCCCATATATCACAGAGGCCGTAGAGAGACATACTCTTTCACATGCTTAGAAAGGAGCTGACATCTCCAGCAATGCAGGTACAGGGGCTCGACGTGAAAGAGTGCTAATCTTGCACCCTAATCAGCCATGTAAAATGACTCCTGAAGCCTGATATTTGCTCAAACTTCCTTTCTTTAAGGAAGAGCTGTAGGAGGAAACTATATAAATCCAAGTGGGCTAACGCTCTGGATTTAGACACAGAAATAGTGTTTGGAGAATCACATAATGGCTACTTTACACGGGTGCTCCTGTGGCCCAGGTACCTGTATACATCTCATCCCCTGTGGCTGAGGCAGGCACGTGAATGCTGTGGACACCTAGTCAGCCAAGGGGTAAGATTCACTCAAAGTCTATGCACAGAAGCTGAACTTTGTTTTAGGAGAGCAAGAAGAAAGGCCCCGCAACAGCTGAGCCATTGTAAAGATGCTCACAACCTCAGGAGTCTAAACATTTTCAGGACTTTCAATGCCAAGGTCTTAAAATCTTTGCTGCACAGACACTTATCAGATGCTCAGTCTTTCTTGGGGGACCCACAAATTCAGCTGCGAGCATCTCACAGAATCATTTGTGATGAACTGTAGTACAAGCAGGGTCCCCATGTTACCTCTCAAATAGGAGGCTAGACTAGAGACGTGCTGAGATCCCTTCCACCCAGAATCACAGAATCACAGAATGTTCAGGGTTGGAAGGGACCTCCGTGGGTCATCTAGTCTAACCCCCCAGCTGTCCTATGGTTCTGTAAGGAGGAAGTAGACCAGCGATTTGCCCTCAAAACAGAATTAGGAGACATGCAGTATGGTCCCTTAAAGCTTGTCATTGGATAATTTGTGATAAAATAACAAATTCATAGCCTTCACCCAACAGCTGTTAAATGTCCATTTGCTGAACTATAACTTTCCCAAGTATCTTATTATGGAGCTCTTATGCTACTGCTACGCACTGTCACTCTGTTCTGAAAGGTCACCAGTGGACTTGGCAGTGGAGCTCTGGTATTAGATCTGGCAGTAGAGCCTCAGCTAGGCTCAGATCAATGGCTGAGCTCTTTAGCTTATTACTGCTTTTTCCGATCCTCCTACAAACCGAGGCTTTTGCATTAAAAAGTGAGATTTTTGTTATATAACTGTTCTGCACACTGGACCTCTTCTGTAGTGGGAGAAAAGTGTGATTGCTCTCAAATATATATATAGCTGTGGCAGGACCTTCTCTGATGTGCCAGGAGCAGCACTCCTCACGGCTGGGTTCAGGGACAGGAGTGAACAGAAGAACCAGGATGGAGATTTCTCCTTCCTTCTGCATGGTGCCCAGAACACGCTTGATAGCCACCACCACTGCTGTAGCACTGTGGTGCCACTGGCAGGATGCGTCCTACAGCCCAGCTCTGCTCCACGCAAGACATAGCAGGGGGGATGGAGGCACTGGCTTTCAGACCTCTGCTCCCTTCCTGCTGCCTGCACCGCCCTTGGAGCCCATTTAAAGCAGATTAGCCAGGGTCAGGCTGGTACTTGGGGCTACCACAGCTTTTGTTGCTGCCTGCCCTTACCCCAAGGATGCACAGAGAGGCTGGTGGCCCCGGGAGGGCAGCTGCAGCCATCCATGATCACCATGCAGGGAGCCCACTCCTGGCACAGCCCAACTGTCCCCAGCTAGCCACGCAGTACCGGCCCTGGGCAAGAGCCTGTGGGCCACCCCCGGTGGCTGGCTGCAACCTGGAGAGGTGCACGGGGAAAGCCTGCATACCCCAGAGACCCAGTAAAGAGTCTCTCTACAAAGCTGTCCTAATGCACAGGTTTGGAGGGAGAGCTGCATAAAAGCACTGAGCAGAGCCAAGCTCCTGAATTTGTCCCAGAAACAAGCACGGCAGAGGCCGGGAGGGTTGCCCAGGTCTTGAAGCAGCAGTGAAGGCAACAGCACAAAATGTTTGAGAAAGGTGTGGAGCACTTTGCTCGGGACACAGCTCCCTTGCTCTCGATGGCCATGTGTTGGCTGGCATCTGGCCACCCTGCCATAGCACTGGGGCTGTCCTGGAGAAGATGCAATGGGTGGCCTGTGCAGACAGCCCCGTGCAGTGATTTTGAACAGATGCTTGCGCGGGTGGGAGGCAGGTGCCATTCCCCGAAAGAGCTCATTGCAGCAGGCCAGCCTGGCCCCACCAGGGTCCCCTGCAGCTGGTAGCTCCCAAAACACCACTTCCCAGAGGAGACCCATGCAAACAGCCAAGAGCTGAGGGATGCTGCTGAGCAGTGCCTTGCAGACATCGATCACACTGCTGCTTTCCACACACTCTCCTTCCCTGGGGCATGACAATGACTGTGCAGGACAGTCCTCTCAGTGTGACAGAAAATACAACCGAAAAATAAAGTCTTTCCTGTCTCCTTCACCTTCCCACATACCTTGTACATAAAAGCCAAATCATTACCCTAGCGACTAGTAATACAGTAATTGTAACGTTTGCAATCTGGGAATTTCAGGATGTTTACTGAAGAAGTTATTATTTCACTGTGAAATTGCTACCATGCATTCTTTAAGATTCCCTAGAGAGCTGAGCGCAAGCTCGAAGAACACAGAGCAAGGGATTTTTTGTCCTGGCATGTGACATCTCTAGTTCGGAGACGCCCACCGGCTCCCCTTTACCTTGTTTTCTTCACTCCAGCTCCATTTCCAGAGAGGCAGGGGTGGAAGGGGAGCTGCCAGTACCCATCAGCTGGGGAGTGAGAACTCTCTCATTTTATTTTCAGCTGCTGGCCACCTGCTAAGCCACAGAAATGCTGCCTTCAAACACTGGTGAAAGACTTTGAAAAGAAATGGGGATGGCTCTAATCTCCATCGCGCTGCCACACTGACTCCCTTGAAATATGTGTTTTCATCGCAGGGATCACAGCTGCGGGTAGGGGGAGAGTCGTTTTACTTTTTCTTTCTTTTTTGGTTTATTTTTTTCTTGTTTGATTGCTGATGTGTAAGTTCAAACCCCAGTTTGCTGGTTGGCCTGTGGCACTGGGGTCAGAAGTGGCTGGTGGGGAGGATGCACAAAGGGACTGGGAGCTGGAAACCTCTGAGTGTCAAAACAGTCACTCCCGCTCCGGTACACGAAGGGGCACCAGCAGCCTCCCACCTCTCTGGTAGGCACCACCTGAACTTCTTCTTGGAAAAGAAAGGTCTAGCAGAACCCAGCCATCCCAAAACAACAGCGTGCACGAAGCTTGTCCCTTCCATCACCAAAACAGAACCGAGCAATACTTTCCTTCTGGGCTAAATCCTCCGTTTCCCTCAGTCCAAACCACAATATTTCTGTTCCTATTTCAGACACTTTAAAAGAAGGCAAGCAAAGGATGTGGAGGCTTGAAAAAGACAGGAAAGACAAAACGTTTGCTGAAAATCAGAGCTAAGGCCCCTTGGTGGGACAGTGGAGGGAAAGGCAGAGCACACGCACATCTCACTGCGAGCTCCGGCTGCCCGGCTCCAGGACACGCTACCACAGGCTGCTGGGCACCTCCGGTTACAGCGTAATGCTCAGGGTCTGCATGCATGAATCCCCCTTCGCGCGGCAACTTGCCCCTTCTCAGCTTTGCTCCACACTCCTTAGGCTTGGCACTGGTTTCTTTATGCACAGAGCTTGGTTCTGAGGTGACGATTTTCTGTGCAAGTTCTCAGCTAACGCGTCCCCTGGCCTTGGGTGACCAGGAAGAAGATGTTACCTGCCACTTTTTTCTAGGCAGCCCTCACTGGGTGACAATTGCATGCACACTCCAAAAACAGCTATTTGCATGTGTACACTCAGGTTTTTGGAAAACACTGGGTAATTGGAAAGCAAGTAGTTATGCACTGTGAGACAGCAGAAAATATGGTTTTTTCACACCTGTGCTCTCCAATGCAATTACACAGGTTTTCATTAGGAAAAAAACAGGCTGAGGGGTCCAAAATCAACAGGCAATTCCACTGGCAAATAAAGGCTTGAAGCCTTTGAAGTTCATTCAAAATCCCTGAAAGTTCAGCAGACGTAAAGTTCGCAAACATTCCCATCTGATCTCTGCCTTATTGATGTGTCAAAACACAGTTACGGTCATGTAGTGAAGACTATAAAACTATCACGGCCTGGAAAAGAGTAAGCTTGGACAAATTTTTTTCTAATCCCTGTTACGCAATCCTGCTTTCGATACTGGTCATTACGAGATACTGCCCCATGTGCCACGTGGACCTTTCTACTGACCTCTGTGTATTGCTGAACTACGTTTTCAGGAGTGGGTCCAAGGAAGATGTAGAAGTCGAGGATCCCTCCAATAGTGCGGAAAGTTAAGGATGGGTTTGGACTCAGAGAAACGTCTGAAAGGAAAAAAAACAAGTTCTCAGTGCAAACCAGCTCTGCACTCTGTATCAAAATGGTTCACAGCTACTCCAGCAGAGGTTTAGACTGGATGTTAGGAAGCATTTCTTTACTGAGAGGGTGGTCGAACACCGGAACAGGCTTCTTAGAGAGGTGGTCAATGCCCCAAGCCCGTCAGTGTTAAAGAGGCATTTGGACAATGCCCTTAATAACACGCTTCAACTTTTGGTCAGGCAGTTGGACTAGATGAGCACTGTAGGTCCTTTCCAGCTGAACTATTTCATTCTTTTGTGTTCTGGCTCATCCCATTCTAGGTGTATGCACTCTGGGCTCTTCCATGCATAAATGTATCCCCAGGCAGAGGTGGCTACATGTTCAAGTCACTACCCGATGCCTTGTGGGTATGACTGGATGAGCAAACAGCACCTGTACTTAGGCTAGCAGTTGCCCAGTGTTTTCGCAGTCTCCACTTTCAGATTGGCATTGTGCAGCAATAAATCACAGAAACCTACAAAGAATAGATTGCACAGATCCATTTGTCTCTGCTTCATTTATATAAAAAGGAACCACAAGCTTGTGTTTAGGGTTCCTCTATGCTATTTTAATCTTCTTATTGGAAGTCATTGCCTGCCAGGGGAAACTGATTTTATAGACTGAGTGAAGATTCCCCTTTTCGGAAATTATACCACTGGATTAGTACAGTAAGGTGACCATGGCAACGCACAAAACTATTCTCCACAGACAGAATATAGGACTAACCTAAATTGATTTGATTCAGTTATGCCAATCCCAGAGGAAATTTCTTCTACATTCTTATTTCCCTGTATGTGTATCTATTTTTTAAAAAAAATTAATCATATATTTTCACTGAAAATACCTTTCCTTGTTAAATAGTCATTGTAATGTAATCCCTTTGAAAATTTCATAGTAATTCCTGGAGCCTCAGTTACAGAACAGTCACTCATATTTGGACCACGCTGAAAAAGCAAGCAGTAAAACAGGCTTTTATATTTACTAATTTACTATCTTTCTATATGCAGTCCATATGGGGAATCCATGTATCTTTACCTTGTGCATTGGAGTTCAGTAGGAGAACACCGTGTGCATTGGAGTCAGCTTCTACACACATATAGAAAGGGTGAACTCCATAGAGGTTGGCAAATGGCTGAAACATAAACAGCGCATTAGGTACAACTCGATTTTGTTTTTTCTCATAGGTTTTGTCAGCTAGGTACATATACAAAAAAAAAGGAAATCAATTCATTTGTAGGTAGAGACTTGTTTTGAAAGGTTGGGAATTCTTTCACCTAAAATGGTGTGAAAACAAATTGATGGAAAAGAGTTGTTTTTTCTGTCTCATCACCATGGTACTTTTTAGTGTCTCTCAATTAAACCTTGCATATTCTGCCAAACCCTCCAAAATGGCATGGGTGAGAACTGCTTTGCTAGTTAAAATAGACTCCTCAACCAGTGACCCCGGTTTAGCTAATTGTCATGCTGAAGTCCATCTTGTTTGGATTGATCCATGCATGAAATTAAATGCTTTCCTGAACTAGGATCTTGGCACACAAAATACTTTTTTCAGAAAGCTAATCGCACTGTAAGAAAGTATCTGATTAAAGTTTCAAAGTCCACTGAAAATGACTCCTGGTTTTGTCGGTTAACTAAAACTTACAACACCTGCAAAACCTGTGACATTCCATGTCTGCCATTGATTCACATTAGCAGTGTTACCATACAGAGAGAGGTGCTCCCTGGCAAAGCTTGCCAACTCCTTTTGGTAATACAAGTGAAGAAAAAATGTTTC